ACACACACACACACACACACACACACAAACACACACACCGCTCGCGCACGCTCTCACGAAAACACTCCCTCTCAAGCTGTAAACTTTCCTCCAACTGGTACATTGTTTGTGTACTCCCAGATTCTCAGTGAGCTTTTCCCCGGAACAGTACACGATGCCAGTGCCGCCAACCCAGACGTGTTCTTGCTGCAAAAGCTGGTCACGGTGACCCATGCACTTGCCGAATCAACGCCATTGCCTGGCAACGAAAGAGGTCTCATGACTTCGTCACGTGTGCATCCACTCTTAGAGGAAGTCGGGACTTGGAGTGTGGACAAAGGTCTTCGTTTGGGCAATCGACGACTTTATGTGCCCAAGACGCCCCTTAACGTCTCTGGTACACTTCTCGTAGGAACAGTTGAGGTGAGATGCTTCCCCCTCGATCTTCTCAGAATGTATTTTACTTACGACAGCAATTTAAGTTAGTTTAGAGGTTACATTCCAAATTTAATTAACGCGTAATTCCAGTATGAAGATATCTGAAAAAAAAGAAACAACAACAATTTAATTTCAATCAGCTGCAGACCAAAGGCTATGTTGCGACATACTTCGAACCATCATACACAAATCAGAAACACAATTTACATATTTCACAAGATGCAAGTTGTTGCCTGCTTTTGCAAGTTTCAGATAAAGAAAACAGTACTGAACAATCTGTTTGATTAACAAAGTTAATAATGTACTTGGTTCTTGTCCAAATTTCCCCAAAATATTTCGTCTTAAAGCTGTGTCAAATGGCCAGAACGCGGGCCTTCATTTATTTAACATTCGTCAAACCACAAAGTTCTAAAATAGGTTGGAATTCGTGTCGATACCACCCCGCTCCCCCCCCCCTTCTATAAAAAACTAAACAGATACAGTTATTTTTTCTTCCACATGCGTTTTTCTCCTCTTAGCAAGTTATATAGCCTTGGGGTAAAAAAAAATAGAAAGGCGTTTGAATGCTTGAAATGCTGCAGAGATTCTTTGGACGGATTGTACTTTTTATGGGATACACTTGCTCTTGTAGGTTTGTGCTATGGGATACAGTAACGTATCTTTCATAATCACGAAATGTGTCATTATACTCACGCAAACACAAAAATACAAACACAAACACGCTTGCGCGCACACACACGCACACACACACACACACACACACACACACACACACACACCTATGCGCACAATCGCATTTTTGAAGTATGAACACATACAAACACACGCGATGACACGTTCACATAACAACAAAGATACCTATACGTATTTGGTAGACATTTAGAGGATTCTGGGTACATGTAATCGGTCGTGACTTATTAGGTTACAATTTATTGAGTTCCAGCTTGAGCTTACACATAAGGGCAAAGCTGTTTTCGAATAGCATAAAGCAGCCGAGTCTGAATTACCTCAGTTAGAGCGAGAAACGTTTTCAAGCAAGTTTTTCACGAACACACGACCTTACTACGCAATCACAACTGGACAATTAAAAGAGGAGTTTATTGCGATTACTTTGATAACTTAATTAATGTGATATTGATCTTTGCGTGAATGATGTTGCCTGTGAATGTGAAGAAAATCATGCCCAGAATGGAATTTTATTTTTCCTCTCTAAAGGCGCCCCCATTCACTATCAAATCGAACGGTTCCTGGTCTGGGTTTTCTGTCGATTTGATGATTGAGGTTCTGGAGAAGCTGGGATTAAAGTGAGTATAACTTGGACAACAACAACAACAACAATAACAACAACAACAGCAACAGCAACGCAACAATAATAACAACAACAACAACACTTTCAGACTATTATGTCTTAACTCTTAGGATTCGGCAATTCTACTGAATAGACGATGAATTATTCTTGTTCTTGTTTTCCTAATTTATTATAAATGTCTTCTTTCCTGAAGTATAAGTCTATCCTCATATAGCGAATATGCATTCTGTTGAACATTTTGGTGGGTAATACAAACCTTTATCTTGGAACTTACCTTGTATTTTATATTTTTTAAGGGTGGGGGAGAGGGGTAAAAATGCCAATGGCTGCAAACAAATTGTCAAATGAGAAATTGCTGAGACCAAAGAGAGAATAGGACTTCGACTTGTAAGATTTAATGTTCTTAGTTTTACACACACATACACACACACACACACACACACACACACACACACACACACACACATTATACTC